TMTTCCTTTATTCGAATAAAGTTGCAGGGCTCCTCTGTCTTTTTAGGGACAGAGTTTTCTCACAGCGTGGCTTTTCCACACAACGTGAATGAGCAGACACTCCTTTATCTCGGCGCCAGGAACACAGGGATCACTCCTCCCAGCGTGCTCCGCTTAGTAAACAAAATCCATCCAATTTATACACTTCTTGTGCTGAGTCATTGTTACATAAGTCCTTTTACATACAATGCATAMTATGCCTGCTCTTAAATTTAACTTTTAGAATAGTAAGTTTTGCTAGTTATATAACTTCATCAATATTCCTACCCTAAGACAATCATCGGGCATCTCTGGAGCTCTGCTGATTGGAATCCTTGATATTCAAATCAAAGTGGGAAGGGTAGGGAGTTTCCAAGCCATCCCAAGTGGTGTCCATGATGGTCTCCAGAGTTTCTTACACAAAAAATACGACATCCAATAGCTTTGAACAAAGCATAAGACATCCAGCAGCTTCTTGATCAGGTTTCCACACTTGCATATTTTAAGCACAGTCCTCCTGACATTCCTATAGCTTGTACTTCACGATTCTCTAACGGTAATCATAACCAACTCTTTTAATACCATTAAATAGATTACTTTATCAGAATGTTTATAACATTGATTCTAGCTCATTGAATTCTAACTGATTGAAGTCTCAACCGCTCCCTCCAGAGCTCGTAGGAGAATGTAAAAGCAGCACTCTGCTTCCCTTAAAAGCGGTGACGCACTCGAAGCAGGGAGCTGTGGGAGCTCCCTGGAGGGCTGAAAAGGCAGGAAAGGAGGCAGGGAAAGAGGCAGGGAGGAGGGGCCCGGCCCGGAGCGATCTGAGGCTCAGAGTACCGCTGCTGTCCGCCGACCCCGCGGGCCCCGCACTCCCTTCCCCGGCGGCGGTGCGAGCACACCCCGGGCTGGGCGGGAGGGACGCGCCGGCACCGCCTCCGCCCCGCCCCGGAGCTCCCGCCCCACAGCCCGGAGCCGGGGTCTCCTTCCGTCTCCCATCGGGGCCGACAGCCGCGGCTCTGGACCATCGCCCGCCGGGTTCGGTGAGGACGTGCGCGGCAGCGGGACAAGGAAGGACGGGAGCGGGGCGGGGGGCTGAGGGGCCGTGCTGTGCTATCCTCCCCACGCCCGCGGGGCCGGGAGCTCCGGAGCCGAGAGCCGCTCCCCGGGAGCTGCCGGCCCCTGCGGAGGGCTCGGGGTGGAGCTCTCTCCGAGGCCGTGCCGGGGAGCGGGGAGGCCGCGGGGCCGCGCAGCTCTGCAGGGCCGCGGCTCTGGAGCGCTGAGGCGGCGGGGCCGGGCCGGGAGCGGGGCTCGGCAGCCGCTTCGCTGCTCGTCCCGCAGACCCAATTAACAGCAATTAGTGAGCGTCCTGCGAGCGCCTGAACGAGGACAATGCGATGCGCAGGCTCCGGAAACATCGCCCGCCCTTATCACATTAAGGACGCAGAGGTTTGTTTGCTGTATTTSTCCATAGGGTACGGCAATCCGGGGAGATACGATAGATAATATTTAGAAAGAAAAACAACGAGGAAATCCCCCTCCCCCACGAAACCAAACCGACAGAAACAAAGCGATCGCTGTCAGGGTTGAAGACCAGATGTTTCSAGCGTCTTGTGTTTAAATTCTGCCRTGAAAGTCCAGCGTTAGTTATTTTTTTTTGCTTCAGCCTCTCAGATAGGCATCACAAGGTGTGCGGTAAGGAGCCGCTGCTCTGCTTTGTGTAAGAGGGACACCTGCAGTCKTGTATTGTGGTTGAACTGATACAACTGTTTATACTATTAAGAAAAAACAATTTAAAGAGATAGAGTCCCTCTCTTTCGGCTTTGGGTTGTCTAAGTAGTTTAGTTGATAGATTTGGCTTACTTATTCCGTCGGCAGAAGCGTGAGGAAAAAAGGAGAAAAAAATGCAAGTAACCCATCAATACTTAGCAATTTCCTTCCTATGCCCTGGGAGATGTGCTTTGTATGCCTGTGTCATCAATGGAAACCAGAGGCATCAGGTAGAACATAGATTTTCCCCTGGAGCACCTGATATGTTTTAGAAGCCCATAGGAATGCTGGAGGTTGTTTTCCTAGAAGTTATTAAGAGRTTGACTCAACTCTTTCTAGGAGCTCTGTGGTAACTTTGGGCATTTCCCAGCTCTTAACTAGCCTCCTGGGAGGACTTAAAAATAGAACAAAACAAACCTAGCTCATGGTGACTCCTGGTAAATAATTCCTCCCTCTTGCATCTGAGAATGAGGGGAGTAAAACCTGCTAGTAACATCAACAACTCTTATCRTCCTGTTCCCTTGAACTAGCCAACTGATGTCTCAAAACATGTAGMTAGATATTCCTGGCAGAGAAAACTGACTTGTGATAATGATTGCTTTTAWATTACTGTCTGAACAATTGAATCYTTTACTSTTGATGCCTGTGCCAGTATAAAAGTTCCCCTGAGTCTCAAAGCGCAAAGTCTTTGAAAGCTTATTGAGGTTTCCTTACTTATCCAGGAACCATTAGCTCAGTGTTTGTGTGGCTCACTGCACTGAGGTCAGACCACTTTGTAGTTTAAGCTTCAACAGGATTGTTTTTGCAGAAATAATACACTGTCTGATGTTTTGGCAGAGGAAAAATAAAACCATTAYAGCATGCTTTGTATCAAGTCTGTTGTGGGATGTTTTGGTTCCCTTCTAAATAGAAACTAAAACTTTCTGCAGTTCATTGGTCTGCCAGATATTTAGAAGTTGTTTCATTGTTGTCATTTTGGTTCTGTTTTCCGCTTAAAACACAGATGCTTTTTTGCTCTTTCCCCTTCTGACTAATCTTAAAAAAGTAGCTGTAAATCAGTAAAATACTCTGATTTGCAGGAGGCTGTCCCTTAAACACAGGCTCTCTAAAAGCTGATCGCTGACTTATATTGTTTTCTGCAGGCCAAAGTGTTTTGGTAGGAGAATAGTTTTATGTTTCTAAAAAATTACACAAAATAGTCCTTCCCAACTATTTTGTTTGCCTTTTWTTTGGTTCAGTTTCATTTGCTTCAGCAACGTATCAGTGGGTAGGAGATGTGAGACTTTGTCATAGCATTTGTGGTCTTTCTTGTAATAATTAACCTGTTAGTTTGATGTTGAGCCCTTCTTGTCTATGTTGAAGACTAACAGTTGTCAGAGGGAGAGCAGTACTTCCCAGCCCATAGTTTAAAAGATATTGCTGAAGACTGCAAAAGGAGTAAAGGAARGAGCAGAAAGCCAAGGAGGTGCAATTCAACTCTTAATTCCTAGAGCAGCTCCTTCTCCTGCATAGCTRTGAGAGCTTGTGAAAAACCTTAGAGCATACTGGCGGCTCTTAAGAAGAGGAAAGAAAAAAGACAAGGAAAAAYGGTGAAAACACCCTTTATGGTTGTTAGCATTAGGTAATGCTAATCTTTGCCTTTACAAACTGTTACTGGGYGCTAATGAAAGGAGACTGTTGCTTCACAGCAAATTGGAATTCAAAATCTGCCGGGGGATCTTTCTGATGTGTTACTGGTAATCAGGACATAGGAGRTTGGTGGTATTGTTGGCATGGGTCATTGTTCCTGTGATGAAAGCGCAGCCTGAAGCTGTTGATTGTTGTCCCTTCTAGGAGCCAAGACCAGTGAGGAGCTCCTCCAGTGGGCGCTCCACATTTGTCTGAAGAGACACATTAACAAGATTGCTGAAGTAAGTGATCTTTTTTCCTTTTTAAAGTGAAATTATGGATGCCGTTTTTTTGTGTGTAGTTTGGTTCCTCCTGAAGCAGCAAGTAGCAGCGTCAGCGCAACTGGAGAGGTAGAAATGGGGTAGAAAATAGGGCTGGGGAAAATACGAACTTTTTAACCTATCTTTGTTACTAGAGCATTTCTAAGCTATRTTCAGTACTCTTACAGTTTTTTGAAGAACCCTAGTACTTTCTTTAGATTTTTTTTTTTCATAGATTTGACTGCTAGAAACAACTCAGATGTTTCCGGCTACCATTTTGTTTCTGATAAACCGAAGTCTTTCAAAGTGTCAGGAGTTTCAAAACTGCTTAGGGCGGTGGAAATGTAGAGCAAAAATGCTGTAAAATTTTGTACCTGGAAGAATTTCAAGGAAGCTCATTTAATGGAAGGATTGATATTGTARCTTAATAGCAGGCAGGACACTTCACCAATCAGAAGAGAAGCTTTACATTTTCAAAACACTCCTGTGGTCTTGAAGGTAGCAATATGCCTTCATKCTGGATGTAAATGGTCTCCATAAAATGCAAAAATGCCAAACACCTCTTCTGGTATGTGCTGGTGAAAGATTTCCATGTCTGAAATTCACTTAACTTCTTAATTTGCATTTCAATCAGTGTCGTCTAGGTGGATTGAAAGCTTGTCTCCAATGAGCGGTCGTTAGATATTGAATGACTAGAGAATGATACTTCTAAAAGGGGATGTCTACAACTATTGGGGATGTAAGAGTTCTCTAAATGTGCCTTAAAACTTGCAAGGAACTTGGAAATTCTTCAGAGGTTGAAGCATGTTCATGGTTTCTCTGTATTTCGCTTGTTTCTGTGAGGTGTGTGAAGTCCTGTGGCCTGAGCTGAGGCTGACTCTCAATGAACTTTCCAACCAAAATGTGTAATATTTGGATCTGCTTATTAGCAAAAGATGTATGGTCATTAGTGAAACATGTGTGGTAAGAATATATTCCTTCCTGTGCTTTGAGGCCAGTCATGACCATGAAATCAGGTATTTGGCCTTGTTTGGAGGTACAYAGTCAAAGCCAGCTCTTTGRTTCCTCCTTGAGCCTTGGCCAGGCTTTGGATGGAACCAAGAGGAGACTGACCCCAGATGTTCCCACACTAGAAGGTATGGAAGCTTGTTTACTGTACATGATCAAAGCTGGACCCTCTCACAGCGAAGATGGAGACCTCACCTGGGGGTGGTCACACCTGAAGAATTTCCCAGTTACCAGGAGCAGCTCTCCAGTCCTTCCCTGTGACTGGAGCTCCCCAGCTGAAGTGTAGATCTGGACAATGTACCAGTTAAGGGTAACTGGTGATGTACCTTTCTTAATCACTATAGGCAATCTTCTGTAGTAATGATTAAGTGCATTGCTTAGCTTATTTTGTAATTCTTTGCTGCTTTGTGCTCTAGTAAATTACACTTATTCYTTAAAGTTGRTGTCTGTGTCTTTTGTGCTGACCATGTCAACTTGCAGAACAGTGTGATGGTAAAGAGAAATTTGCAGTTGAAGCATAGGGGTGTATGTATTTTTTAAAAAATACATTCTCRTCCCATCTAAGAAAAGGCAGCTCTGGGCTCTGCTTCATCATTAGCTGACCTTCCTCTATCATAGGAATACTCACAACTAGAAAAGCGTGAGCTATAGGTAATAYTYAAAGCTGTGTGTTTGAATTATATACATGAAATTTTCTGCAGAGACAAGGATATTCTTTATAAAGGAGTGTGATGCTACTGATAGAAAAGCTTTCATCTGTAGGATTCTGGACAGAATATTTGGTGATTTCAATTTGTCTGATGAATCAAGTCTCTGTTATTAATGCCTTTTCCCTGCAAATTTTTTCTGTTGAAAATTGCTTTCTCATGCTTACAGCAATTAGTCAAAAGTAAACTTTTTTTTTTTCTCTGAGGAGTATAAGCAATAAGCCATCAAATACAATCTTGAAGATTTTGTTTTGTTCTGAGCAGTGACATTGGTTCTGCTGGTGTTGGTGCGTTGCTTGGTTTAATGGAGAACTAGAATGTTAAAATTCCTTGTTGTGAAACATGGCTCCTCCAAATAGTCCATAGTGCTTGCAGAAGATTCACTTTTACCTTTCAGAATAACCTCTTGGAGCTCAGTTTAGATGCTKCTTGTGACAAATTCAGAGTTTTCTGTGTCTGGTGGTTTCAGTTGTTGATGTGTGGGACAATGTGTTCATCTGCATTAGCTCATTCGTGGTGAGAAGAATAACTTCTTTATTCTTGACCCATTCACCATGACCACAGTTCCCATGACACTTGTGACAGTGTTGCTGGGTACAATTATTAGCTGTAGGACAGTGGATATTGGCAGCTGCAATGGAATGCTTATTCTTTGGTTTTTGTATTATCCCTGAATAAGTCTTAAAATGGAATTRCATAATTGTAATTTCTCGACTGCAGAATTTCCCGGTTCCCTCCCAAGATTCAMGGCACATTCAGAGATTGAAGCTTGTTTCATTGTTTCTCTACATTTGTTTTGCTGAGGAGCAGGGTCAGAAACCACACAGACACCAACTTAAGAAATAAATGTAATTTGGTGTAATACAAAACTGCAAAGAATTACAAAAGGATAARGTAARCAAAAGATAAGTATCAGCTGKGGGAAGCCACTGTGACAGCAAAGGACTGGAGAACCACTGGGAAATCCTGCAGGTGTTTCCATCCACAGGAAACAAGGCTTCCGACTTAGCTGTGAGGGGGCCCTGTTTTTATGCTGCTGACTAAACAAGCTACCATAACTTCTAGCAGGGGAACATCCGGTTTCATTCTCCCACTGAGTTTCTTCCAAAGCCTGGCCGGGGCTCAAGGAGTAACCAAGGGAATTGTCTTTGATCCCATTCTCCCAAGCAAGGCTAGATTTGGCCTAAGTACTGAAARGTAAATACGTGTTTGCCCAATGAGTGGATACAGGTGTGAAAATGTCAATAATACTTTGTTAATGAGCAGATACGTATAATATTTCTTTGGAAGGTTAATTGAGAGGTCAACATTGGCCCAAGAACCATTGTTCAGGCCATAGTAMTTCAACATTTTGCAGTTCTTACCCTGAAGTGTGATAAGTAGAGATCTGCAGCTGTAGTTCTGCCTCAAACATCCTTATTGAAACAAAATTTCAAAATTTTAACATAAATTCTAAAAATGGAAACATATGAGTGCAGGATATTCTTTCTATATAAGTAGGAGTGAAACAGCTTGAACTTCACCCTACTTGCAAAAATCGCCAGTGATGAAGGGAAAGTGGTCATGCTGCTTTTGGTGTTGAAGAATGCTGATACCAGCTTGATGGAAACACCTCAAAATTAAACATGAGGATGTGAAGAAACTGATGTTTCCTGACAGGAACTGGCACAGTCAGGGGTGCGTGAGACAGATGTTTCCTGATAAAAGGAACCAATGAGTGTGGTACTAATCATGTATTTTAAATTAATTATGTTCTGCTGAGCTAGCCTAGCATTGTAGGACTGATACTCGGTCGCATTATCCTATGGAAGCCCAAGCTCTTGTTTTTTATGGTAGGGATTTCTCACACGTCCCTTCTAAGAGTGTGTGTGGAGATTCTTCGTTTTAAGTGGGGATGCTTCTCATGGTTACTCCTTGCGGCTGAGTGAAGGAGATTTGCCCATTGTCATGAGTTTGGGTGACCAAACCCAATCTCTTCTCGACAATTATTAATCTAGTTTTGAAAATACTGATATGATAAATAGTGCACTGTGATAGCAATTGTAGCCTGCAGTCACCACACCAACAGGGGCCACTCCCCGTTCTGGACAGGTGTAAAAAAATTCACTCTGAAATAGGTTTTGATTGGGAAATGCAGCTTCTTGAGTTGCTGCTGTTGCCGGTAGCGCGCCAAAATATGCGAGAGAGGCAAGAGAGAGCTCTCCCTGAATGCCTTGACTTTTAAGACTTTGAGAATGAAGTGTCTTCACTTCATCTCCAGACAAATGAAAAGACCCGCTAACTAACTGAGAMACACTGTTTATTCRGTGTTGGATAACGCTGAATAAAATCACATTAGAAGTCTTGGTGTTTGGAGAGCTTGATGCAATGTGATGGTTGCAGGAGCGAAACATACCCATGCCATCAACATTTTGGTAACATATCTGTAGCAGCAGATGGCATTAGGAGAGCAAAGTCATAGAATCATAGAATATGCTGAGCTGGAAGGGACCTGTCAGGGTCATTGGGTCCAACTCCTGGCCCTATACARGACATCCTAAGAATTGCATCATGTGCCTGAGAGCATTGTCCAAATGCTTCTTGAGCTCTGTCAGGCTGAGGCTGTGACTACTACCCTGGGGAGCCTGTTTCAGCATCCAGACACCTTCTGGGTGAAGAACCTTTTCCTGATATCCAATCTAAACCTCCCCTGACTTAGCTTCATGCTGTTTTGTTGAGTCTGTCACTAGTCAGAAGAATGAAGAGATCAGTGCCTGCCCCTCCTCTTCYTCTTGTGAGGAAGTTGTAACTGTGATGAAGTCTCCTCACAGTCTCCTCCAGGGTGAACAGACCAAGTCACCTCAGCTCCTCCTTGTATGGTTTCTGGTTGAGGTTCTTCACCATCTTCGTGGCCCTCCTTTGGACACTCTCAGACAGGTTAATCAGTTTTTTATATTGTGGCACCCAAATCTGCCCCTAGCACTTGAGCTGAGGGCGCCCCAGTGCACAGCAGAGCAGGACAATCCCCTCCCTTGCCCAGTTGGTGATATTGTGCCTGATGCTCCCCAGACACAGTTTGCCCTCCTGGCTGCCAGGGCACTGCTGATTCATATTCAGCTTTCCATTAACCAGGACCCTCCCTGGTCCCTTTCTGTGGTGCTGCTTTCCAGCACCTCATTCCTTAATGTGTATATCCAGGGCTGCCCCATCCCAGGTGCAGAATCCAGCACTTGCCCTTGTTAAATTTGATACAATTGCTGATTGCCTGTCTCTCTGATCTGTCAAGGT